GACACCAAGGTAACAGAGCTCTTGGCTTTCGTCAATAGCATAGTTATTTTGCGAACGAATGCCTTTCCAATAGCTAAGTGCTCGAGTGACAAAGCCACTAACGGGTCAATTGCTCTAGTTGTGACTTTTGAAAACTGATTGTAGTGTATATGAGCAAAACAATGAATGCTCGACTGCTGCAAATGAACTTGACGATAGCTCTCTTCTTCCCCATTTCTTGCCGACAAACCCCAGGACGTAAAACTTCAGGATGCCACTAAAGCCAATAGCAATAGTAAGTGGCTTCATCCCTGGCATACGTGTGAGAACGTTTCTGATGATGTTGGGTGTGCCAGGTGGGACGGCGCGAAGGCCTACGAGGGATCCGACCTGTCCGAGAAGAATGGTAATGGCTGTCGCAGACTGAAACCCAGATAGAACAGGCACTGAAATGAAACCCAGAAGGAATCCCATTTTCAACAGCCCGACAATGAACTAATACATGCCAACCATCAGCAACGGCCGATGAGATGTCTTGTGCAGCATGTCCCTCGGTTTTCAGGTCACTAATGATTTCTGCTGTCAATAGACCCATGATGGAAGTCGGCCCGGTGGATATATCTATGTAAGGGTCGGACATTGGGCACTTTCTCATATCGGTAGAAGCGCACCTTTCGAAGTTCCCATGAATATTTAAATAGCTGCTGGTAGCCAGCTAGAGTAGAGGCCAAACTCTCCAGGGATTGTTGCGATTTTAGCATAGGCCAATGCTTGCGGGATCATCATGACACAATGATCATTCCAGCAATGAGTCAGACAACACCCATTTAGGTCATGATGAGGAAGCTATTGCACTATGGGGAATTTCTGGATGAGATATTGACAAGTTACTAAAGGCAGCCTTTGGCAAATTGGTAGCAGCTTTTCTTCGTATTGTGTTATTGTGCTGTCAGTCTCCAAACTAGACTTGGCCTTTTCGATGTATTTCATGACGAGAGCAAACATTTCTTTACGACGAAGTTGTCAATAAGCATTTGAAGAAGATGGGTGTACAAGATACGTAGGTTAATTATGTGGCTTCAAAATAGCCCGGAAGATTCAAAGTATCTTGACAAGTGATGAGACAGATGGCTTTTATCCAAGCTCTGACCTTAAGGTGGGCTTGTCGCCGCTCAAATCAACATGTTTGACTGCGACTGATACAAGTTGTTAAAAGGTCCTAGAAGGGCGGATGGACGCAAACATCCGGACGACTTATTTTATGTGTCAAAACTTGCAAGTGGTTTACAGATGCAGGTGCCGCAATTCACCAACGGGGGACCCCGTCTTCGGCAGTAGTTTGCACCACCTTGCATTCCACTAACATTTATTTTACGGCCATTGGAGTGTACACCTCGTCATCTATTGGCTCCGTCGAACACGCACCCCGCCTTCGAATGAGGGGATCCTAGCCAAGACTAACATGGAGGAGAATGTGTTGCGGTCATTGAGATGGCCCTTGTCTTGGCAAAAGCAGATGTGTTCTGTCTACTTAGCCATTCTTTATTCTTCATGTTTCTGAATATCAACATCAATACCATGTGTCTCCGGAAAACTCTCGTGAGTTCGATGTCTTCTGCGCGTGGAAGGGGCATAACAGCAGTGGCCTATACGTTAAACGCAAGCAAGGTTTGGGCAGCCCCGCATAGGGATATCCGACTGGTATATCTTGCAGTACTAATTACGCGGGATGGCCCGACCCAAGCATCTGAGCTCGAATGGTTCAAGCTTCATATGAAACAAGGAGTCTCAACCACACAGCAGTGGATGACAAACGCGGGACCAGTTCCTTAACAATGAACCCCGCTCAAGAAACGTGAGTATGGGCCTCATCGAACAATATGGGGCATGTTTCCAGCTGCTTTGGCCATCTGATGACGTCAGTAGAGAACACTGTTAATTAGTTCCTATCCAACGGTCCCACGTCCGATGACAGCCTACTTCATACTTTTGAGAGAAACCCGTCGCATCACTTTACTTTTGGAAAGTTGTATTGCGACCTTATGTACAGGAAGACTAAACCCTCAGGATAAATAACTCGCGAGACCAGACTAGAATCTATCTATCAAATTTTAGGCGCCTAGTGATTATTCATTATGTGAGCTGTCGCGATGCCCTCACGCGCATCGCGCAGCCTTGTGAGATTTGCGCCAGGCCCGGATTAACTATTAGTCGGTCCCTTCGTGCAATCCACCACACAGAATACGTATTTATTCGTTTTAGACAAAGTAATCTTACATATAGAAATCTAAGCCGTTTTCTTTATATCTTTTTTACTCTAAGTAGTGACTCTATAATAGTTATAAGCTTAGCTTATATTATACTTTTAAACTACTATATTTAAAGTATACTATAGGCTAGAAAATCTCTTTTAAATAAACTATTTTTATTTTCTTAAATTAATATCTTTAATATATCTATTTTTATTAAGGCTATAAAAAAGCTTAAGACATAAAATAATTAGCTTTTATAGTATATAACTCTTTAGCTTAAAGTAAAATTAAAGTATATTTAAGAATTTATTAACTTAAATAGACTTAAATAAATAAAAAAAAAATAAACTTAAATATTTTAATAAAATCTTAAATACTTTAAAAATTTTTATTTTTAATAAATTATTATTAATATAAATCTTAAATAAACTAATAATAAACCTCTTTTAATAATAATTAATTTAAATATTAAAGTTATATATTAAATATATATTTTAAACGTTAATATAAAAAAAGCTATTTAAAAATAATAAAAAAAAAAGTATTTAATATAATTAATATATAAATAAAAATATTAATTATTAAATTACTTTTTAAGTTAACTTAAATAAAAGCTTTAATATAAAACTAAATAATATTTATTTAATACTTAAAATTTTTAAGTAATAATATATATTAAGTAACTTATTTAACTAAACTATTATTTAAAAAGAATATTTAGCTTATTAAATTAAATAGCTTTAAGTATTAACTTATTTATTTAGTTAATAAAATAATAAAATTTTTACTTTATATAAAAATCTTAGACTTATTAAAAGTCTAAAGTATTTTTATTTTAAGAACCTTTTTAAAAGTAGTATTATATAAAATTACTTTATTTTAAGTAACTTATAAACTTATAGAAATTATTTAAAATAAAATAATAAGCCTTTTAATTAAAAACCTAAATAACTATATAATAATCTTAATTAGAGTAAGAATAATAAGGGGTTATTTATAAATAGTTATAAGGAAAAGTAGAGAAGAATAAAGGTAGTGGAAAGGGGCAGGGTTTCGCGTTTTTGTTTTTCCTTTTATCAGCCTGCAGACACAATCACAGGCCTGATCAGACGTGACTAAGCAGGACCCTTCCAAGTACAAAAGGGACTCTAGTTAGATACTATCACGAGGGCATTGGCATGGGATTACTAAGCGGACAGACAAGCTTGACATCTTTAGACAAGCACTTAGACAGACATGGACGAATTTATTACTTTGATATCTAAATAAGACGTGTAATAAGTGACTATTACTTTGTTTTCTTAGGCCTGACTAGACCTCTAAGGTCTAGGAGGGTATCCTCCTCCTCCAGAGATCACGACACATATATGCGTACCACTTAGTAATAAGGGCAAATCTGAACAGATAGTAAGACGTGAAGGATATACTTTTCTGGTTTGCTCATGGCCTTGATCAGGCTAAGGAGGACCTGAAAAGAGTAGTATTTCATGGTCTAGGCGTTGGGTAGTCACTTGGGGTAATCGGTCACTCCAGGTGCACTTGTGACGATACTGGGACCTTGGTGTTTGGTGTGGTTTGTGTGTTAACTGCCTACTTGCTGGCTTCCTTTATTCCACGCAGTTTCAATGGTGCCTTGTGGCGGAATTGAACTGCCGATCTTTTCATTGATTTATTTCGATTATGCGATAAATCTGATATTAGTACCTTGAAAATAGCTTTAACTAACAGAATATATCATTGAAAAGATATGAAGGAAATGATATCCTTGACCTGATTAGACTTAGTCCTAGACGTGGGAGTGAGCCTGACCCTGAGAAACTGCAATGGACAAGACCCAAGAAAAGCGGGACTCTTCGAAAAAGCAAAGAAACGAATGACTAGCTATGACGACATAATACGGCCAGACAAACCTTCTGCATGGGCGATCCTTTTGTGGGCAAGCACTGAGCAAGCCTAATTGGAGAAAGGAGCCTGTAAGATGTGAGAGGAAGAAGAAAAACGATAAGATAAGAATGATACCTTCTGCTGGACTAGTGAGCTAAGCTCTCTCAGTGTAGGTTATGGAATGATTATGGACCACGAACTAAGCCCAGAACTTCTTGAGAGCTTGTTACCATGTAAGCCTCGGTCTGATCAGGTTCGATATTGCGCTATTAACGGAGACTAAACGTCTTAGCGTTGATGGATTGGTAGTAATGGAAATTTAACGTTCCTTTAGGATTGGCCTGGACTTGATGAGCACCCCTTTGGAAACTTAATCAAGGACGTAGTAAACTAATGCCTTATAAAATATACGAAATACTGCTCCTAAGTTTGATTAGGTTGACAGACTGGGCCAGGCAGCAACTCCGAAGAGATTTTATGCGTAGTACCTTAAGATTAATTCAGAGTGATTGATACCATTTATACTTCCTACAACTGGCTTGCTAGGATATCAGTAACATGTCTGAGCTGACCCCATCAACGACTGACACGGGCAGCTCGGAGGTCTGACTGATCAGGCAGCCTTATTCGCCGGTGAAGCTTTCCAGAGTTACCGAGGGCCCTGACGACAATGTGGACACTGAGTCTGAGACCGGTCCTGAGATTCTCAACTTCGGAACTACCCAAGAGAAGCGAGGGCAAGGACCTAAGCTCAGGCTATTGGTAGTACAAAGGGAGTCCTGATCAGGCTGGCGAGGACATAAGCCCTTCCCCTGATCTGGCATCAGACTCCCTTACTGCGGCAGACTTCCGGCCTAGCAACTCTTGATGGCGAACCTATTAACAATGGTCAACGTAAGCATGACCAAGGACCAAGGGTCTGTTAAGCCTGATCAGGGCGGGACAGATAACCTGCGTCGGTTAACCATCAAGATGTTACCGCTGGACACTAAAGGGGCCCCCACCTTTGACGGCTGTAACATCACCGATTTCCTTGATAAGTATGAAGCCTTGACTGGGCTTGCTGGTTACTCTGACAAAGAGAAGACAAAAGCGTTGCTATGGTACTTACCTGATGAACACCGAGCAACGGTGAAGATCAAGGCTGAAAAGGAGACTTGGTAAGAACTAAGCAAGTTCCTTTTTGACACTTATGGACAACTCGACGAAGAGGTCATCCTTCAACTGAACTGCCGCATCAAGGACCTTATGAAGGGAGACTTGATCAGGGACGATAACCTGACAGAAACTGCAACTTTGTTTTAGAAGGTTGAGAGTGTAAGAGAAAAGGCAAAGGCTAAAGGGAAGCCTGTGATGGGCGCCTAAGAGCTGATTGAGCTTTTTGCTATGCGATTTTCCGAAAACACGATTATGGTAGTGTCTTTGTAGATGGGACTTTCCCCTGCTGATCTGTTTGAGAGAGGGAACTTCAGTGCCTTTAAGAGGGCAATGCTCGCATGGGTGGGACAGAAGTCAAGATATAAGGGTCATTACGGAGATTCTGACACTTTTGCCTCCTCCTCATTGGCTATGGTTCCCTATTCCTCAAAGCGGCCTTCCAGCCCTGATCAGGTCAAAGGTATATTCCCTAAGAAGTTTGCTTTCAAAGACATCAAAGTTATGACTGATCCCGCTATGGACGAACTTTTGAAAACAGTAGCAGCCCTCACACTTGCTGTAAAAGCCAGTCTTGAAGCCCAGACTATCTCTAATAGTCAACCTATGGTTGCATGTAGTTATAACGTCTCTGCATCCGGTCCTCCACGGCTATATACACCACCAGCTTGACAACCGTCGTCCTTCAGCAAGCCAGGTTTTGTTCCAGGCCATCCTGATCAGTGTTGGTATGATGTATGCGACCAAAGAAGGTATTGGATGTGCCTGTAACTTAAAAAGGACAAAGAGGCCAACCTGATCATGTTGGACTATGATGTTTACAAGTATGGGGTACTTTGAGGATTGAATGTTGAGGTAAATGAAGTTCCTGATGTTGTTATCTGGGAAGCCTGTAAAAACTACTAGCTTGACTGGGTTACTATCCTTACCCATGTGGCGAATAACACCTTGTTCCTAGAAGCCGCAAAAGCAGCAAAACGTATGATTGACCAGGGTGTTGGATGTCCCTTTTAACCTGAGATATAGTGCTACCTACCGCTGTACACCCAAGACGCCCGGGTGAATCTTGTCAAATGCGTCTCAGTATCCCCTAAGACATATGCTGAAGTCTTCCTAACTCAAGGGGCAAAAGTGAACGCGGTTACTAGGTCATTGGACATAATGCTGCGACCTATTTTGCGCTGCCCTGATCAGGCAAGGCCCTATTTAGTACGCCAAGGCTTTGTTTTGAAAAACATGTATTGAAGAGGGAGCACTTCCAGCACTGGCTCCCAGGCTGAGGAAATGAATATTGATGCCTGTGCCCAGACTCCTCTGCCGACATAACTTACCGGTCTAGTGCACCCTGATCAGGCCTATCAGACTCCTGAAAGTTCAAGGTCCCCTTCTGTTTAAGCTGTACCAGCGGGCGAGCACGCCAACTTCGCGCATAGTTCAGGATATGCTTAAGAACCTGCCAAAGAGGATTCTATCCTAGATCAACTGGAGATAATGGACTGAGCTGCGTCTGCTTAAGCTATTGCCAAGAAATTTGGAGGGAATATTACCATCCCTTTTGACGTTGTACTTTGAGTCTGGCTTTAGCTTAACCAGGATGCGATGGTAATGATACGCCAGATGCTGGACAGCAACGGGTACTCGGACATCTACCTAGAGGCTCCCTCTGACCTGATCAGGGAGGTGAAACCATATGAAAGATCAGGGGCCTGCGAGGCAATCGATAGATATAACAGAGACGTCCCGAACCTTATGAGCGGAACTGCCAAGGTCAGACTTATTAAGACGCTTGACTTGACCACCATTGAGTCTATTGTTCTGCACTTTATGATGCCTCACTTTGTGATCAACGTCTGAGTTGGTGGTCTTTGCCTTGATCAGAACGACTTGATTAAGGGTGTTATTGACAATGGTTCACAAATCAACGTTATTTCAAGATTGTACGCAGACAAGCACGCTATCAAGCTTACAACTACGCCGCTTGGGATGAACGCTTTTGATCCTAATTCAGAGCGTGTATCCTTTGACGGAGCAGCTATTGTGCCTGTCTGGGTTGAAGGCCACTGTTTCCTAACCAGCATGTTTGTTGCTGACGATAGAAGGATGAACGAACCACTTCTTCTGGGATCGCCTTTTGGGTTCCATACGCAGATCAACTATGTGTATGGCCCCGACATGATCACGCTGATACTGACAATAGGGCAAACTCTCTCCATGTCCCGGCCGCATTTCTGAAGTTTGGCAATCCTGGGAAGTTCCTAGATTATCTGCCAGACTGGGACAACTATGTGAGGGCTCTCAAGGACCATCTCCCTGATCAGACCAAGCTGCATCAAGACCAGGAAAACTAGACTCCAGTAACGGTACCAGGACCGTTGCTGGAAAGCTGAAATTCCTGGACATGAGCTACAAGAGACGACGAAGAAGTGATCCATTATCTGAAAAGAATCGGATTATCTGGTGAAATAGCACTGACTACACTCTTGCCCCAGCTGTGGAGGACGTCTGTAAGACTGCAGCAAAGGTTAGAAGGCACGACAACAAGGGATGTTCTTGCTGCGTTGGAAAGCCCAACCCGCCCCACATCGACAGATCGTCTTGATCAGGCCTGCGCCCCAAGGTTACCTTAACCAGTTGTCAGCGACTATTGGGAAGGTTAAAGCAGAAGAATCAGGAAGCGGATAGTCAACACTTCGACATGATCAACAAAAAGGGAACGCCTTTCCCAGGCAACACAACCGCGAGGTGGATCCGACAAAACATCATCCCCAGCCTGATCAGGCCAAGCGGAATGCAAAGGTATTCACCATGTATAAGGGAAAAGACAAGAAGATACATCCGGTTGACGACCAACCGTCTGACGGATCAACCCCTGACGGCGATCCCCTCTGGAAAGTCAAGAACCTGGCTGAAGCCGAAAAGACAATGCAACCCGATGAGGGACCGTTCCGAGGCCTGATCAGGCCTAAGTATTCAAGTATTGAGCCGTATTCACGCCTCAAGCCAGACAGATTGGCGGCCATCATGGATACACTGGGTCATCTCCTACCCCGCGAGAAGGACCTATTCCTCCAAGTCCTTCTGAACCGCGAAAATGCTCTCGCTTGGGACTTCTCCGAAAACGGCGCGCTTGACCCGAAAGTTGCCCCCCCACAGGTGATCAGGACTGTGCCTCACAAAGCCTGGCGAGAAAAGGGATTCCAATACCCAAAGCGCTTGAATCGCAAGCTATGGACATTATCCGGGTACGAATCGATAAGGGTATCCTAGAAGAAGGTCATGGGGCTATACGAAACCCTTGGTTTCTTGTGAAGAAGAAGGATGGTTCCCTACGCCTGATCAATTCAGCTACTCGGATGAATGGGGTCACGATTCGCGATGCCTTTGCTCCTCCAGGAGCAGAGAATTTCTCAGAAGACTTCGGCATGTGCCAGATTCTCTCACTCTTGGACTTCTTCTCTGGATACGACCAAGTCCCTCTAGCTGAGGAAAGCAGGGATTTAACAACGTTTGCTACTCCCCTTGGACTTCTACGCATGTGCACCTTACCGCAAGGTGGTACCAATTCTGTGGCACAGTTCATGAGAGTTATCACCCGGATACTCTATGACCTTATACCACATTGTTGCCGGGCTTTTCTTGATGATATCGTCATCAAAGGGCCTACAACCACGTACAACGATGAGGAGCTCCCTGATCAGGCCGGCATTCGACGCTACATCTACGAACATATTCGCTACGTCGACATGGTGCTCTTCAATGTCGAGTTGGCAGGCTGCACAATAGCTGGCAAGAAATCACAATGGCTTCAGAGAACGGCTATTATCGTCGGCTATGTCTGCGGTTCTGGAGGTCGCCGCCCTGATCAGGCGAACGTCATCAAGATCAAGGAATGGGAAGAATGCAAAGACATCAGTGAAGTCAGGTCATTTATAGGGATGACTGGGTTCTACAGATCATGGGTCGACAGATACTCGGAGATCACTTTGCCTTTCCAGAAACTCCTCAAAAAGAACGCCACGTTTACCTGGGGGCCTGATCAGGTCAACGCTATGGATACCCTCAAGTCCAAACTAACAACTTCTCCTGTAATCATTTCATTATCCTATGGCCCAGAAGCTGGGTTAGTGGTCATCAGCACAGATGCGAGCCTGCAAGGTTGGGGCGCAGTACTAAGTCAGATGATCGGTACCCAGAGGGCTGTGGCAAGGTATGAAAGTGGTATCTGGAGAGGCGCTGAGTTAAAATACGACTCTGGGAAACTGGAATTGAGAGCGGTTTTGATGACATTGAAGAAACTCCGAAACTACGTCTACGGTATCAGATTTTTGTTGGAAACTGATGCACAGGTCCTAGTTGCTCAGCTCAACGGAGGGTCTCACGATCTTCCTGGCGCCCTAATCACTAGGTGGATTGCTTGGATACGTCTTTTCGACTTTGACGTCAAGCATATACCGGGGACGAAGAATGTGGTAGCGGATGCGCTATCACGAAAAGCACCAGGGCTGTCCGATATCGAGGAATACGAGAGCCCTGATCAGGTTGAAGATTTCATCGACGCCAACCTCTACTTTGTTCGACTGCACGAATCATTCGGAGGATCCAAATCCGGCATTTCAAAGACCTCTCACCTGCATCAACTCCCTGAAGCATGGCTCGCCCTGATCAGTACTGGACTGACCGAACGAGACAAATCATCTTCCATCTAAAGACACTATTACGCCCAGATGGAATATCACAGCATACTTTCAGGAAGTTCAAAATAGAGGCCTGGTGTTATCTTGCTCGAGATGGCTATTTATACCGCCGACCAACAAAGAGATGCCCGATCCCTAGACGCCTTATTGACGACCCAAAGATTCAGGAGAACCTGATCAGGAACGCACACGTCGAATCAGGACACGGGGACGCGATGCAACATTCCATCGGCTTTCTGTATCCTATATCTGGAAAGATATGTACCGGAGGGTGCAGGCCCAGCTCGCGTCATGCCCATCCTGTCAGAAGGCTCGATCAACCCGGATGGACGACTGGCACATCGGTACAGTCCCAGGGGAATTACCTTTACGAAGATATCTATTGATGTCCAGTGGATTGGTTCCTGGGCACTGATCGAGGGACGTTGTGATATGACGGGTTGGCCCGAAGCAAGGAGGGTAAGGACTGTCACCTCTGATCAGGTCGCCGACTTCATCTGGGAAGACTTTTTCTGCCGCCACGGTGTCTGTGGAGAGATGATTGTCGACGGCGGACCAGAAAACAAAGGGACTGTGGACCGCCTGAATGAAAAGTATGGTATCAGAAAAAGGGTTATATCAGCGTATAACTCAAAGGCGAACGGGGTCAATGAACAAGGCCATAAACCCATTGCGCACACCATCTTGACCTGGTCAGACGGAGGAAAAAGAGATTGGGGGAAAATTGTGCCTACTACGCTGTTTGCAGACCGAACGACAGTCCGCGCACCAACGGGCTACACACCTTTCTTCCTAACTACAGGATACGAAGCGATCACACCCATCGAAGAATCTACCTTAACTTGGAGAGTATTAGACTGGGGACGAGTTCGTGACCCTGATCAGGAACTGCTGCCAGGATACGCTCCTTTGAACAACTTGAAATCGATAGGGAGACTGCAGCTAAGAATGTGGCTTTTGCGAGACAGAAATCTGCGGATTACTATAACGCACGCCATCAACACACAATGCGGTCAGAGAAGCTTCAGCCTGGCGATTTAGTTCTTGTCTTCGACGAGAAACGCGCAATCGACAAATCGAAAGCTAGGAAACTTACATACCGTTGGCAAGGCCCTTTACGAGTCCACTCTGTGTCTGAGAACTCGGCATCGTACCGCCTAGAGACGCTTGCTGGTGACCTTATCACGAGGGCCACATACGCTGGGAAACGTCTCAAGAGATATATCGAGAACGACGCCGGTTTCTGGGAATCGGAGGATCCTGCGTGGGCCAAAGCCAAGCTCAAAGACGAAATAACCCCCTTCTTCCCAGCCCAGGACCACCAAGACGAACTTTGGGAAGTAGACATGGCTCCTAGCCCTGATCAGGACGAAGACATCATGCAGACACGATCGAGGCTTCAACAGCTACGCCTCGAAAAAGAAAACGACACGCTCCGCAGAGAACTAGAGCATTGGAAGTCATCGTCCAGACTTGCGATTGACATCCAACCCAAGGACTCGGCAAAGGACGCGCAGTATACTGACATGACACAGCAAGCCTGATCAGGCCTGCTGTCATATCCTTTCATTTTCCTTTATTAATGTCTACATCGCACTGTCATTTCCATAACATTTCGCACGCATTTCCTTTCACGAAAAGTTCATTGATTCGGAACCCTTATTGCATTCATCAATAAACTTGGGGACGAGGTTATCTGGGAAAGGAAACGCCTGATCAGACCTAGAAACATCCCAGAATCACCCCAAATCCTAAGCCCAAACCACCAAGTCATCAGACAACCCTATATCCCTAGTCCGAATCCTCATCATCACCCTCCGTCTTCCAGTCAATACTATCCTGCACCCAGATAGAGCCATCCAAGATACCAGGCGACTTTCTCTCCTTCTTAGAAAGCCCCTTATACTGATCCTTGATAAGTTTCATAAGGTCAGACCGAAAGAACTGCGTGGAATCGATAGAAGAGATATTGTTAGGAATGCTTGAGGGGACGCCGCCGCCGCTGGCTCTTCGCTCTTTGGTGCCCTTTACCCGACCCATGTATCCAAACTCCTGGTAAAAGTCCTTGTTTCGATAGCAGCATTGGACTTGAGTCTCGTGGTAAAGGCAATTGGAGCATGCATTGCCGAATTCGTTAGGAAGGGAGACGCATTCCCAGAA